CATGGTACACTGCTTTCACTCCAAGCAGGAGTGAACCGAGTCAGAGTTTCACTCAACATGTTGAGAACAGAGCATCAAGAGCTTTGTAAGGTTTTAAAAATGTCTTTTAAAAAATAAAGAATAAGGTCAATAAAGAAAGGTAGTGGGAAAATGAGTTTTATAACAGGATTAAATTAACATCTTGCAACAATATTTTGTCTTTCAGATCGTAAAATCACACACGGGGAAAAAAAATAGATTGCTGAACTGATTAGTTGATCGAAGAAATAAGCAACTATTTTGATGATTTATTTATCATTTAAGTCATTTTTCAATGTGAAATTCCAAGTATTTGCTGGTTTCAGCTTCTCAAATATGAGGATTTGCCGCTTTTATTTATTTCATATAATTTTAAAAGAAATCTTTCTTGGTTTTTTAAAATTCGGTTGGACAAAACAAACAATAAGAAGACGTCACCTTCGACTCCCGGACAATTCTCAAAGACAACGAATCAAACAAATAATCAGCAGCTTATTTGATAATGAAATTAATCTTTAGTGTAATCATTCATTTCACCTATTTCTCGTGATAATGAAAGCTTCAGGATATTTTATTTACTAAAGTACCTAATTTATTCAAGACGTTTACGTTCATGTTTCAGTAACTGATTCAACTCGAAGTGGAAATAGTTTAAATTACAGAATTACACAAATGTAATTACATTTTCCCTTTTCCAGCTCAACAAACAAATTAGAGCAGAGTGAAGGAATGAAAAGAGTAACTTTTATTCTCGACTAAAGCAGCATCACGACGGCCATTTCTTACTTTACTGAAATGGTGTCATGAAGGTAAGAACAACTGTAATTTATAACCCGCTGTTGAACATAATAGAGACCCTGTAATTTGAGGAACTCTAATTTTTTATCACCATCCTTAAGTCTTCTGTTTTTGAATAAATCTCATCTCTGAACACATTTTTCTCCGGCATTAAACCCACAGCTCGAGGAGTGCTCAGATTTCCAACATCTGGGGCAATTTTCTGCTCAAGACTGAAGATTCTTTTTTAAGATAACTGTTTTTTCAGATACTCTTGTGAGATTAATTAACCGAGGCAACTTGTTGGCGCAATTTCAATGTGAACACATATTTAAGTTAACGAAAAAAGCTGTGTGAGAAAACTTGGCCTCGGTTAAAATCCACCTCGATCCCTGAAGAGTCGAGTTCAGAACAGGCTTTACTTTCTCCGTTATTTTGAAGATAAAAAGTTGAAAGTATCAGCGTGGGAAAGAGCAGATTTTTACTGATATGACGTGAAAGCATGTTTTGTTTGCGTGTGTTCCTTCAGGCCTAATGCTAAGACAGCCGACATGGATGTGTCCAAAATGCTTTTAGGCAAAACATATTGTACTGAATGAAATGTTCCTCAGTGGTATTATCCAAATCTTTCCGCTGTAAATGGCCACATGCTGAACTGACAACCTGCTGCAGATAATTATAAAATGGATTATGTTTGAAAAGCGCTGTAGCAGAATGTCATTTTTATCCATAAGACCTTTAAAAACAGACATTTAAATGATGGAGTGATAAAAAAATAAATAAATAACGGCAATTGTGGGAGCAGCGATTGGAAAGAAGGGTGTAATGTTTCTAATCAGTCAATCAGAGCAGAATGCTTCCCTCCATCTTGGGCAGATGAAAACCTGCAGTGACATTGTGATTAATCATTGAGCAAAAACTTCTGTAACCTGCTGTTTCGCCGTGATTTCCAGGAGAAAACCTCACAGTCCTGCTTGCTCTTGTGGTAGAAATCTGACTAACTGATCCAGCAGAGTGTTTCGCCACAACAGAGGATATTAAAGTCGTGTTCTCCACTGGTGATAATCTTGAGTACTGTAGTTTGTGGACATACTGTACACTGTGTATTCAAAGAAAGCATGAACAATCTTTTTTAACTTTTGTGCAGAGCGGCTGATGGATTCAAGAAGCAGAAATCCTATTTTATTTTAGTAAACATCCTTCAAGAAAAGAAACAAGGAAACAGCCTTTTGATGACATTTTGCTTCTGTCGTTGACTCTTCAGTTTGAGCTGGATGGGATTGGGACATAACATGTTCCAAAGTAGTTTAAGAATGTGTGGCATTTGAGGTTAAAAAAAGAAATGACTATTAGTTGGTAGTTTGCTGTATACATCATAATCAAAAATACTCCATTTTCTATGTAAAAGGTCATGGCAACAGGGCATAACACTGAAGCATTCTTGCATGTATTGCTAAATACAGAGCACTACATACAGAGGGGATTCGTTGCAAAGCACATGAACTCAACTGCTATATTTAAGTACAGTGTTGAGGTATAGGGTTGGACGATTGGGTGGATATATCGGTGATCTGCGATTGGCCATCGCCGGTTGTTATTTTTGCTAATTTAATGATCTGCGTCCAAAGAATGAGTTGCTGCTCCACGACTGACCTATTGTTCAGCGTGCTAACCCAGTAGCACAAAGAAGCCAGCAATGGCAGAGAGAGGTAGAAGGGAAAAACGCCAGTCACCAGTCGGAAAATTATAAAATGTCGGCCAACTCTATTGAGGAACAGGCAGTATTTCCAACGTGTGAGACTTCTACATTGTGATTATTACTTATATTTAAGTACAGATTTGAATACGTTCTTTCACAACCGAAAGCAGATGTGGGAACAGAAGAACTGGCCAGCAGTCTGCAAACCTGACGCTCTTTTATTGTGTTTTTAAAGCAGCAGCAGCAGCGGCGGCGGCGGTGGCGGCCCACTGCAGCTACAGCAGCGTTTATCAGGTGCTAGTTACACGCTACATTTCCTGAGTGATGCCGTCGGGTCCCGGGCCTGCAGCGGCACACCACTGAGGACTCGGAGGAGCTCGGCCACCCAGGCGGAGGGGCTGGTGAGCTGTTGATGAAGTGAGGGGTCACTGCAGGGTTAAGTGAGACCTCACACTGGACAAGCAGGCCAGACCTCAGGCCACGGTGGCATATGGGTGTGAAGGAGGTGAGGAAGCCGAGGAGGGGTGGGGGAGTGGCGGGGGGCGCCAAGCTGTCCCCTCCGCCTCTCACGAGACCCCCAGCTGTCACAACAGACACTTACCAGCCCTCACACTAAACACCCACCAGGGAGAGGGGGGCAGCATCCTTCCTCTTTCAAACAGAAGGATGGAAAAGAGGAAGAATGGAGGGAAAAAGAGAGGGTAATCTCTTCTTCCTGCTGCTGTGATGTCTGAGGAATGCTGGGATCTGCCCCCGCCACCGTCCTCTGCCACTTCTGAAGCCAGACTGCAAACCTGCTAATTATAACCGCTAACGGATGAAGGTGTGACCTAAATAGTTATTTTAAGTGTGGAGCAGACCTGTGAGAACCACTGCGCAGAGAAAGCAGAGGGAGTCGCAGAGGGACGGAGGAAGTTCCAGCAACGACCGTCGCACAACAAAACACACAGCTGCAGTGCAGGCGAGCTGAGGTCAGACTGCAGGAGCGTTCAAATACTGCGAGACTACAGCGGCTCAGACTGAACCGCGGGGCTTTCTTTCTAATGGACGATCTAGCAGGTGAACACCAAAGAGAGGGATCACACACAGATGAGAATAAAGGATTACTACACACACAACTGTACTGGCAAACTATCAACATCTGTCTGAGATTGCTGTGATTTTTGTGTCATCTAATAATGAGGTTGATGGAGTAATAATCAATCTAAATCTAAATTTAATAATTTATTCAAAAGAAATGTGCAAATCTTACTCAGTTTTTCTGTCTCATGTTATTATATTTTGCTATTGTTGGTCCATTTTATTTGAATTTTTACATCTTTTGGTCTTTGAGACAATATTTTTTGACATTTTTAAAAACTAAATCATTTGATAGAAAAACAAATGTGGATGGAAGTAACTGTTCCAGTCTTGCTTACTGTCATATATGAACTGCAACACTGAGGTTTAAGTCACAGATGACAGGGCAGGATGGAGATGGCTCAATGTACATTATGTGGTAAGTTTGAACATATGTTATATATATGTAGATATATAGATACATTTATCTAACTAGCGTTATGCATTTCATCATGCTCTGTGTATCTTATGTTCAAGTCAGTGTGTGTTTTATGTTTAGATAAAGTTTCCGTTTTCTCGTTTGAAAAACACTTATCTAAAATAAAATAGGCAGCTGTATTTTTTCCAAGACGCAAATAAACAAATAATCACATCCCTGGAAAACACTTTCTATCAAACAGTTCAACACAAAACTATTGTTTCTTGCTTCAAGGTACGAAACCTTCAGTTTTCCCAGAAATCAATTTTTGAAATTACACTAATTCATGAACACTTCGTCCGAGGCACTGGTTTGGAACTGGGGTTGGTCGGCTCTTAGGATGGGTTAAACGCACAGAACAAATTTCCCTACGGGATCAATAAAGAGTGACTTATTACAGATTATAACATTTCTAAACTGCATAAGAACTTATAGATCAATGAATGCTGCAGTGATCTCAGGAGATTCTTCTACAAGTACTACTTTCACTGCACAAACACTCACTTTAACAACACTTCCACCTGCCTCTGTTTGTTGAATACATGCTGCTTACACCATCCCTCGACCCAAACACACCCTCTCCCCCGCCTTTCGTTCCACACCTGAGAGCCTATTGACAGAGTGTCCCGGTAACACGCGTATCACTTAACCCCATGTCAAAACACAGGTGTAACGTAAGCCCTGGGAGCAGACCGAGGTCCTGAGCTCATAAAGGAATGTGCGAACTGGGAATAGCACCCTGCATGGAAGGGACGCCCCTCACTGAGAGCGTACAGCAGAGTACAGAGTTACTGCAGGGAGGGGAGCTGGAAAACAGCCAGATCCTGGGAGAGGGGAAGGCACACCTCCACCTCAGGGATCCACAACAAAACGAGACAGAATTGTGACTCAGTGGTTATGAAAGACAGAGAGTGATGAGAGGAGTTTTGGATGGAGGGAAAAAAGAAGGAAAGCAGTTGGTGCTCTTACCATGGCGCCCCGTATATCCGGAATCCCTTTATGGTGACGTCTGAGTCCTGCAGGTACACACAGTTTGTGAGGAGCGTCTGGACATTGTCAAAGTCCTCTGGTTTGAGTTTGGAGACTGAGGGGAAACGGTAGTAATCCTGCTTGACCAGCTCGGCCATAAAGTCCTTATCAAAGGTCAGCTCGTGGTTCCCAGCGATCACCACCTTGAACTCGTACGGGAGGCCACCTAGAAGAGACAAGAGCAACCAGGGAGAGGGTGGTGAGCTGCAGTCCCACATCCACATATGGATCCACAGCTTAAGCTCTAGTCTGTAACACTTCTGGTAGAAGCGTTGCGTATATAGAATTGAAGAAGTTGTGGTTACATGGTACAAGTTTGGCCAACCAGGACGCTCAGTATAACAATTTCTGAGCAACATATTTACAAATACTGACAATTATTAGCTACTGAGACCATTTAGACAGCACTAAAGTTCTTACACTGACATCTGCAGCATCAAGGTTGCACAAATCAACATACCCAAGCTATAATCTATAAAAGTTTCTCATTTCGGAGGTGGACAATGCAAACGAGCCAATTAAAAAATTAAAGGAGGTCCGTGTTTGATCCATAAATTACCATAAAGTGATTTGCTCACCAGTTTTTGCACAGATCTTGTCCAAAGGTTTTAATATCCTGAGTCTGCATAATTATTGGGTTTTTATTATTAATTGCCAAAGTCCGTTCATACTGAGAAAAGTTTCAATGTGTTCACGTAACGATTTTAACAACTCTGAACTGTGAAGATTCAGGCTGTTGCAGAAATGTTGCGTTCACAAATGTCTGACAATAGAGGTTTGTTGCTTTATAGAAGTATTTCTGAATCTATAGGTATACTCATTTTACACTGCAAATAATTCTTAACACTGAACAAGTTCTTTACACACAGCGTTTTCTTTCATATGGTGAAACTCTGCTCTCCTTCAAGGCTGAACAGTATTACATAAAATCACAAAGGGGTTGTACTTTCTACCCGGTCAGTGTACTTCTACAGAAAGAGCAGGTTGTCCTAATATTTTGTACACGAAGCATACACTCCCACTGTAGCTCCCTGTATACCTAACCCTGAGCACAGATCAGGACTGGAAAGAAAACTCAGATAAGTGGAGGGGAAAAATACCCTCAATTCAGACAGTCAGAGAGGTTACAACCACAGCTGACGGCTCTGCTTGACCCCAGCAGACCACCGTCCATCTCCGCAGACGCCAGGCGGCTGGGAAAAGCATGAACCTGAACTAAATAGAGAAGAACATCTATTACAATTCTCATCCCCTCATCTTTCAACTTCTGCGGTGCCCTTTTCGCTCTCCTCTGTCGAGGTGATTTGTCCCGGTTCCCCGTCGCCATCAAGAAACTGACTTGCTACTTTATTCCAGCCGATTGAGCACTCAACGAAAGGGTCTGGCCTTCATCACCTTTCCATTCTCTCTCTATATTTCTCTTTCTCCCCTCCTGGATTCAGTTTTTTTTTCAGGCTTCCTGAGGATTTTGTTCCAGTCTTCCTTTTCCTTTCTGTCTTTTTTTATCCTGTTCTGTAGGTTATCCACAGGTTCATTTATGTGTAGCTAGCTGAACCACAGTCCCGGTGACAGCAGCCCCAACGCAGGCGATATAATTTATAATAGGGCTGCATCTAACAATTATATTAATTATCCATTAATATGCTGATTATTTTCTCAAACAATCTATTAATTGTTTGACCTACAGCCTACTACAGTGCAGTTTGTCTGACCGATAATCAAAAACCCAAAGATTTTTTGTTCACTATGAAACGGAACAAAGAAAAGCATTAAATCCTCACAAGGGGACTGGGGAATGTTTGGCAGTTTATGCTCTAAAAATTACAAATACCTCATCAATTATGCAAATATTTTTCTAATTAATTTTCTGACGATCAACTAATCAATTGTGGCAGGAAGGTCTGGAAAGGATTTGGACAACAGCAGCACTACGGAAGCTTGTATTGACCTGAGTGACGACTTGTGATGTGCTAATGAATTCATCCTGATTACTAATAATCACTTAAATATTGTTTGGCTGAAGTGACGTCATATAGTGTTGTCAACAACAAGTCGTGTGTTTTTGTTTTTGTTTAATAAACTGAACCCATTTTCATAGACTGAAAGCACTGATGTTGGATTGATCAGATCATGGATTAGTCAGAACTTGAAATGTACTTGCTGGTTCTTAAAAGTACCACTGTCTGACCTCCTAGGATGACCTTGTAGTGCCGGGTAGTCTGCATTACTTTAGTAGCTCGTAATTATAAAATAATTGCAAAAGATTTATCCAAAAACCCCTTTTTTCTTCTTCAGATTAAATCATCTTATCATCAATGTCAATTAATAAAATTCTCAATATTTACGAATGAGGACCTTTAAGTAGCAAAGTCTAATGAATTCTGCTTACGGGGTTTTTCAAAGGTTTAAGTTTATTGTCAGAGAAGATGAGACGTTTTGGTGATTTGCAGACGTAAAGACATCTGATCTTGATGTTTACAGGTCTAGATTATAGATAGATAGAACTGTACAACATGAAATCTTTCACATAATGACAGGATTATTGTGCACGTGTACAAGTGAGATGCCTGCATCAACCTTTGACTGGGGTTTCGGCTCACCAACATTAGCTTTTAAACCTTTTTTTGTGAAGAGCTTTTTTTCCTTATTGTTCCTCTGCTCCAATAATTTCTCCGTCCAGTAATAGCAGGAGGTCATGATGCATGCCAAGAGGGCAAATTGAATAAAATACTGAATAAAGAATCTAATAAAACTTATTTGTAGAATAAAAATGCTTTTGACTCATGACAGTAAGTGAAAGAAAGGATGTAAGCGCGCTGCTCAATTTTGCAGCAGTGAAGTCCACAATTGGAAATAAAACTAATAGAACAGAATATAAATTCAGTCAAGATACGCTGGCTCAATGCAGATAAATACAAAAATTCCACCGCATCCGTTTAAAGTGTGTGTGTGTGAGTGCGAGAGAGAGAGCGAGAGAGCGAGAGAGAGCTAATGCTGAAAATGAAAGAATCATGGTTCCCCGGTCTATAGGTTTCATTCCCGCTACTCTAAATTAGCTCTTGTCGCGTCTCAGGATCATAAATTCCAGTCTAACCTTATATGAGAGCGCCGTCTCTCAGTCCCCCAGCACTCTAACTGGATCACACATCCATTTACACACACACTACCTAAAGCGAATCATCCTCTCCACCACCACCACCAGGCAGAGAAAAGGTGGGGAAAACATAATTACCATCAAATAACTCCATCTCCATTACTCTACTGGGAATTTCTACTGCTTTTTATTGCCACCGTGATACATCTCACAGAGGGTTGGTGGAGTGATACACCTAGATTTATTTTTTATTCTTCGCCCACAAACAGGGGATATGAAAGACGGGAAGAAAATCAAAACGAAATCTCTGTGAAGAACAAGAACAGTGTGTGCAGAGAAAGATCAACAAGGCAGACTTACGTTTCCATAAGATTTAAGAAGACAAAATCATCTGCACATTGAAAACACAATATTGAAAATACACTCTTTTACAACCAGGGTAAACAGGAGTATAATAAAAAAAATCATCTTCTACGTGACATCCCTTAAATTAAAGAAGGTGAATGCTAAAAGAAAAAAATTACATAATTTCCCTTCATCTCCTCTCTCGTCTCCTCAAATTAATCCTTGAGGAAATATGATCCAAAATCCAAATCAGCACATCTTCCAATTAGTGCGGAAGCTGCGGATATGCACTAGTTTTGTAAAACAAGCTTTCCCGTATCAGTTTCCCTCAGCACCTCAGTTTAAGTGTCTTTCAGGTATCTGTTCTAGTGTTACGACCTGCAGCTTCACTGCTCTGGTTGTTTCCTGCCATATCGGGCAGCTGTTTACAGGTATAAAGCAGTCACTGTACGCTACCTGCTCAGCAGCAAACAGCAGAAGTTAGTGACTGATGTTAGTGATTTCTGTATTCTGTTACATTCATCAATCAATCAATCAATTCTTGAGTGTCTATGGGTTTAAATAACATAATCATGATCCCATATGCATCCAGGAATTGAGTGAAACTAAGGGGTGGTAAAGGGGAGGGCCCACAGTCTCAGACTATAAAAGCCCTGGTTTCACCCATAAAATGAATGAAAATGTAGATGAACTCTAATGTAAAGTACTTAAATGTGTTGTTTTGATTCAGTAATATCACATTAGACAAGGAAAATCAGCAGATCCTCAAGCAGAAACAGGTCACTTTTGCTTCAACGGCTATTAAAATAGTCTGCAATTATTTTTCTTGTGAGCAATTAATCAATTGATTGTTTCAGCTCTAGTGTAAATAGCCCATTTGCCAACTGGTTTGCCACAACAACTTTATACGGTGATAATATGTAAATATTGTGTTTACAACATGCTCCAATGATGCATCCATCATCATTAGAGATATTTTTCACATCAATTGCGGCACACCTCCGTGGCTCATTCCCTCTCAGTGTAAACTGTTATCACTACAAAGAGATCAATGTATATTTTGGTAACGTATGTAAGGTGAGGGGGTTGTCTGTGGTTTGTGATTAGTTGATTGGATTGTGATATTTGTACAATGTTTATTTTCAACTGATGTAAAACAGGAAGTGAACAAAACCTCTAACGGTTAGACCTCACTGTTGAACACGTAAAATCAACTGCTGTGTCTACACACACACACACACACACACACACACACACACACACACACACATTACCCATCTGAGCATAGACACAAACAAACAAAGACTACTGGGGTCTCCGGGAGCAGCTTAAAGCAGCAGATCAGAGCTGGTGCTCCACCATCAGACAGGCTGGGTCAGGGAAAGCTCGTTCCTCTGCATCGATCTCCAATGATTTCCCTCAACGGGACAAACTTCTGCCTCCTCCAGAGTCTGAGAGGAGCAGACAAAGGAGGCTGAGAGGGAGGAGCAAAGGGGCAAAAACACAGCGCTCAGTTTATAGAAGCTTTACAATAACAGTCTCATCCAAGATTAGAATCTGTTTAGATTTTGTTGATTATACTGTTTCAGTAACTGAAAATGAAGTACATCTAGAACTGGTTCTCGCTACTTAACCCTACTCCAGAGTTTCATATAAGTTTCATAAAGCCCAAGAGATTATTAAAAACCTTTACATGAAAATTAACATTAACATTTCTGCGTGTTTAAGTTTTGAGCGTGTCTCAGCTGCACTTTCTTCGTCTAGAAAAACATCCACTAAAACTAAACTAATATGTCTTCAAAATGCCATTTTCCCATGTGACTTTCATCACACAGCCGACTCTCGACATCTTCCACGTCTGACTCATTCTCAGTCTCTTTCTCTGCTGTCGTCAAAGACAAAAAATAAATAAAATAAACGGCCTTGGAGGGAATGTCGAACCTTTCACATGCATTTGCATTTTCTTTATTAGAGAACATTCTGTATGTAAAGCTCACACAGACGCTATAAAAGCCGCAACAAGACATTTTCTCAGCCTACAGACTGCTGAGAGCCTCCAAACAGCATAAACAAAAGACACAGTACTGAAGATGGTACTAAAAAAAAAAAAGGCACAGAAGAAATAGTTGAAAACAAGATGGACCAGTGTCTGTGACAGTAATGTCGTCTCTAAATTTTACCAATATCTTTTACATAATAAGTCTATATTCTGACTATTCTCATAATATTGGGACTTTTCTAGTGAAATTACAGCTTTAACTAATGTTATGAATTAGAATTCTTCTAAGACTATATCAGCATTCTCATAATATCATTACTTTTTCTTGTGAAATTACAGCTGTATTCTCATAACAGACTTTTTTTTCTTTTTTTTTTTAGAAAAATCTCCTTTCTCCCCCACACCCCCCACACCACCCATTTTCAACAAGTGGCTGTGATATTTCGGTTATTTTCCACCCTCCCACCCTGAGAGTTTGATAACCAGGTGTACAGCTCCACACTCACAACCTTCAACTGGACACTAACAGACAAGGCGGTCCCAACTACATTGAGCCATTTTCCACTTTGCACTGCATCGATTCCCCATTATGGCCGATATCGCTGTTTTCACCCTGGCTTAACAAAGTACAGACACACACACACACGCTTGACGTAGCTGTCCGTGTTGATGGATGGAGGAGTTTGATAGAAAAGCTGACCAGTGTACCAGGTGCTGCGTTGGAGGTGGTGACACAGCAGAAAAAAACAGAGGGGGAAAGAAATAGGACATGCCTGCATGTGTGTGTGAATGTGAGTGTTTCAGGAGAATTAGGGCACAGCACCTGGCTGTAGTTTAAAGAGTCAGTCAGGCAAAGTGGATGCTGCAGCTGACCAGCAACAACATGCAGGGATTTCAGATTTTAAAAGGTTGACAAGAGAATTTAAAACCATGTAGAGAGAACGATGAGTTTGCTGAATCACTGCAGATATTACACAGCAAACCTGCAGCAGTTATTCAACGTGAAAAGCACATCAGCACAGTTTAATCTTCTCCATACTTATTTAATCTTTTTCTTCTTTCGTATGTTTTTTCAGGTGTGTGTATCTAGTCCTGCACTGCCAGCACATACACAAAAAAAAAACCTCAAAACGTGCGTCTAAATTGGGAATAGTGTGCTTTGCCTTTACTCATTGATGCCTTTCAAAATTTCCAAAATATTCCACGTTTTCAGGAGATTTTTCCCCATTCATTCCTTATGGAGAATTCACAGTTTTTCATGAATTTTGAATTCTAAACTACTCATTCATACATTCACAGAGAAACTCAATTTAAAAAGGTTCAGGGCAAGTAGGACTTTCTGACATTAATTCAGCTTTTTCACATATTTCATACTTTTCACACAATAGCAGTTCAAAATTCATGAACATTTCAGTAGATTAGTGTGTATGTTCAGAGCTAGCGTGGGAGACCCAACAGTCACAGTGAGGAGAGGTGGTACATTAAAACGTAGGAACATTTGTGCCGGTCGCAGACATGTGACTGTGGAAGCAAACTGACTCACACTTTTGTCTTTCTGCGCTTCCAAGTCACCAGAGCGCCGAACAACTTCCATATTAAACGGGAGCAGAAATTTCAGGTGTGAAGCAGAAGCAGCCACTTCTTCAAACAGCTAGTGCGGTCACATTTTTGACTCTTCACACACACAAATCTCACCAAATGTGGTCAGCAGGCTCTCGTCTTGCTGAAAATATCCCCATTTTGGTGATAGGAGTTACGGTCTGGGCGCTACAAGCATAATCGTGAGAGGTGTGCCCCAGCTGAAACCTCTGAAACTCTGACCCAGGAGACACACAGCAAGTACCGTCACCATGGCAACCCTTAATTGGAGTTGGGAACACACACAGCTGATTGAGATGACCTAATTAACACAGTTTGACTTGCTTGCTTTAAACTAAACTCAAATCTTCAAATATTCAAGACAGAGAGAGTCTAGAGAGAGATAAAGTAGCTGGGTTTTAACAGGAAGCGCAGGATGAGCCTTGTTTTTCAAAATAAAGACCCCAATAGACAACGCAACAAGCATTCAGGCACACTCAAAATTTCTTGAGTTAGATGTTCAAAATCTTAATCTTGAGACTGAGAACATACCGATGGACAGTCGAGAAGCAGATTCTGCTGTAGGAATAGTTGTAAGTTTCTATAGACGTGTGGATATTCATTTTGTGCTGTGAATACTTGCTCAATGTTTGAATCCACTGTAGCTGCTTTGAATCCAGGCTGAATGCAGCCGCTGTCGTCTTTGGAGAGGCAAAAGTTTGACAGCCACTTTTCAGATATGCAGAGGGTGAGTGTTTGATACTCAAAACATAGATTTTGAGAGGAGTACCACTTTAACCATGGGGGTTTAAATAGGTTTGAGCAATGAAAATATGTCAAACGCTTTCAAAAATAAACAGTTTTCTCTAACATTTTTGTCTCTGTTGTAATTATACATTATTAATTAACTTAGTTTTCCTCATGGTTCAACGGCAAACGGTTTCTGTACTTTCCTCCCAGCATGTAAAGTGTCATGAGCCTGGATTTTGAAGGTAAACATTGCTGCTAATCTTCAGTCAGTTCCTTCTATGCTTTTTGTTTCTTGTGGTGTCTACTCCTTCTTATCCTCTTTTCCATTTACTTTTTTTGCGCACACTCCAGTCCAGAGAGAACACAAAGTGAATTTTGCCCTCAGCCGCCGGATTGAAGTCCATGAGATATTCCGTGTAACTGGCTAGCCATTGTGCACACCAATGCTGTGTGGGGAAGATGTCTGTGTGTGTTTTAGTGACAGCTCAAAGCTCAAATTCAGATTTTAAACTCACAAGGAACTCATGTTCTTTTATTCATTTCCTCCAGGGTCTCTCCTTTTTACATCTCAATCTCCATATGTTCATGAACTGGACTCACAAGGCTTCGGGTGCACACAAGTTTTTAAAAGATTTTTTAAGTCCTGCATGTCTTCACCTCAATTTGTGCCACCCAGAGCAAGTTTTTTTTTGCATTTACTTTAAAATACAAGTGCAATGCAGATACTTTTCATTGCGTTCAGTCTTTTTTTCACATTTAGCTTCTACTGTTAAATTTCAAGAGGTTGTTTTGTCTCACCTGCCAACTGCCCATCAACACACAAGCACAAACGACTAATACATAGACAAAAGAATTCAAATGTCTTCAAACTTTAAAGGCCATTGTGGTGGGTGGTGCTTATTGATTTAGGCACATGGCTAGAGGGAATGTCAGACAGTATGTGCGTGTGAAACATGACTACATTAGAGGGAGCTCTTGTCTGGAGGGTCTAGAAATGTAACAGTGGCTGCTGGGATGGACGCACACACACACACACACACACACACACACACACACACACACACACACACACACACACACACACACACACACACACACACACACACACACACACACACACACACACACACACACACAGCACAGTGCTCCCACCCACAGCATGGGGCCAGAGGGAGAGGTCAAAGGTTAACTTAGCCAGGGTGTTAGGTCAGAGGGGTTAAACTGGACACTTTACCACAGCAGTTGTGGGGTCAAGAGGGGAGGGGGCGGGTCATTGTGTGGTCCAGTTACCGCTTATGATTGCAACCTGTCTTGTGCCGTTGCCAGTCCGCGTGTTAGCGAGAGTGAAAATAATGCGTGCGTCCAGCGGCGTGCAGATGAATGTGTGTGTTTGAAGCAGCTTAGTACCTAGCCAGTCGTTGAACTTCTTAACCTCAGAGGGCAGGCCCAGCTCGGTGAAGTCACCCATGTGCAGCAGCACGTCGCCGTAGGGCATCTGGATGCCGTCTGTACGCGAATGTGTGTCTGACACGCACACAAACCTGGTGTGTCCTGCTGGCTTGGGAGTGTCATAAGGAATGGGGTCCACCCTGAAAACACACAGACACAGAGAGAGAGAGCTGTTGAAAGTGGAGCTGGTGGAAAAGCCTTAAACTGTATGTCCTGACAAACACATTTACCTCAGTAATGATACATTAGGGGAATTATTCTGATATGTTTATTTTGATTCATTATAGTCTGACAAGTTCTTCTGAACTGTGGGATAATTGGTTGAACTTCTAGTTAGATGTCAGTACCTGTTTAAAGATATTCACTGTTTAATTATATAAGACCATTTATTTATTGAAAACTATAATACAGGGCATCCTGGGAGCCTTGTGGTTATAAGATACACGCTATGTAGTCGCAACATTGCCAGGTTCGAATCCCAACGGGGACTTTATTGCATGACGTCCCGTCTCTCTCACCCCACGATGCCTGTCTGACTTTGCTGAAGCTTTCAGTAAAGAAACATAAAGTGTAAAAAAAAACTAAAGAAAACTGTAGTATCAGTAAATCATTCATCACAGTTTGTTGCCTCGCCCTTCTTCTTTCCTTTCCAAGTCAAGTTTTCCTCAAAAGACGATGTGCTATCATTAATTTTTTGTAAAGTATTAACAACAAGTTCAACCTACTAAGATAATAAATGATTTATACTTGTTTTATTGTGTTTAATCCATATTAGTGCTACATTTTCTGACCCAACAAGAAGAGTCTTTGCCTAGAAACACTCCTTTAATAACATGCTGCCTTAAAAACTGGAGTTAATTTCAAATTATGTTTATATGCATTAGTATTTAGGAAAATTGCAACCACATACGATATGGATTACAAAATTATACTGTGAAAATGTTAAGCAGACAGAGATAAACTGGCTTTAACTGCAAAAAATATACTGTATATTATTGCTGAGGTGCATTAACTGCAGGTGTTTACCCTCAACTTCAGAATATGTTGACACAGTTTGTGAGTATTTTCAGCCCTTGAGTCGTTTTCAGACATTTTACTGTCTGCAAAAAACGGCTCTACCACTTTAGTTGTGACTTTGTCATAATCCCTGAGATGGCCCACGCCGCACAGCTTCACGCTATCAATCTGAAAAGCGTTCTAGGAAACTGATTTCTCACCTGTCAAATGACCCTGTCATCAGTCAAGTATGTTTGATTCCTTGTTATCGCCAACAAAAAGACCAAACTCAAAAAGTCTTTCAAGCAGGGACAATATCCACTTATTCATGAGATGTCTACCCTTGATTTATTTAGTCATTTTATAATTTTGAACATTATTCTCTTCTACAATTCAAAGACTGTGCCCTTTTTTTCTCCTCTCTTTGTGATATTTTAAAAAGGTGTACTCGATCCAGAAGTATATTTTTAGGAAATGTATGCTAATTTCATACCAGATAGCAGAAGGGGCACACCTTAAAAAGATCATTTGTTGTGCAAAATAAATTACATGGTCCACAGAATAATGCATGCAGCAGAGCAAAATGCATCTCAAACAAAAGAGGAGACATTACAACAGTGAAAAATGTGTAGTTTGGGCTGGAAAACAACCAGCGTTTGGGTTGATTTGTGCACACAAGGAGGGCAATGGCTGTTTTGTGGTATCAGATTGGCTAAAGAGACGGTGAATTAAGACATGCCATGTCCTTTCTATCCATTATATAAAGAAAAAACACTTAGACCCAAGTCTGTCTGGAAAAAAAGCCTTTTCTTCAGCCTTTTTGTTCGATGTAAGCACGTCTGTTAAAAAGGAAGAAAAACCTGTACTTTTTTTTCCGACTGAAAGGAAAGAGGGGAAAAAAAATCATCTTGTCTGTAATTGAAGTCTACAATGTGCAATCTTCCAGCACTCTTCCACTAGACCATTATTTCATTAGAAGGGATGTCACTCTGTCGACAACATCAGACACATAATCAACGCTGCAATCTCCAACCTGACAAGCACACACACACACACACACACACACACACACACACACACACACACACACAGAGTTAACTTGCACAAACATGGCATAAAAACAGCCGCAGAAGAAGATGAAATCAAAAGGTTTCAGAGTGGAGAAGACATCATTAACAGAGATGGAGAAAAGAGGCACCACGGCACAAAAGAAAATCTTATTGCGGGGGAGGCAACATTGCATTTGAGGAGTTATCATTTGGGAAGCAATTTTCCCATTCCCCATTTCTAGGGCATGTTGAGCAGAACATTAGACGTGGAAAAGCATCATCAACAGCCTGGAATCTGTTGTTGTTGTTCTGTTTTTGAGTTGAACAGTCATTTGCAAGGTCTTGTTAGTGATAGGACAACGGTGGACAAGCTGGTCACCATCTGTAGCGTGTCGTCACTGTGTGTAGTCTGTAGTCCAGCAACCATCTGCAGTCACTGTCTGTGGTCAGAGGTTTGTAGTAGGGGTGGGCGATTTGGATAAAACCAAAATGACAAATTAATTTACTAATCATGAGCCTCCAGAAGATTCTTGTCAGCTCTCTGAACTCTAATGAAGGGATGAACACCATTCTTGTAACAGACATTGCCCCATTTGGTGTCATGGCGATGGTGATGGAGAATTAACTGCATTAACTGTTCAATTGGGCCGTGATCTGGTCACATCATTTTCATCAAACTATTGAAACTATTGACCCCTCTTGCCTTGTATATTGGCATTTGGATTGGTAATGTTCCTCCATTCATTTATTCAAGTTTATCTTCCTGTATATTGTGATTTATAGTAAATTCATAGTAAAAAAATCCATTAGGATCTATTTATAAACAAAATAGTGAGTGTTTTTGGCCAATCTGGTGAAATAATCATGTAAATTCAATGGTCCCACTAAGAAGTCACACGTTCTGATTTACAACATTGACCAAAAGGACCTAATACAATCTACCTCGGCAGTAACAGCAGAGCAAAATTTAATCTCCCTGTTTATGTCACCATATCGCACAACTCTTATCTGTTGTTGCCACTGTCTGTGGTCTAACCACCATCTGTGATCAGTAACCACTGTCTGCAGCAGCTGCATTCCCGCTGCATCTCGAGTCCCCCCACAAGTGTTGTTTCTGCCTCTGCAAAACTGGATGAATTGGAAGCCGCGGGCCAATAAGAGGCTGCTTAAGATCTGATTCTGACATGCTGGCTTCAGCTGATACAGTGAGGGTGCCAACACACAAAAAATGTGGGGTTGTTCGGTTAAAAAGTTGAATCAATTTCAGCTTCCAATCACAAACACGCAAGAACAAAATCCTGGTAGATTACTTAACGTGAACGCCTTGTTTTTTAGTGTTTACCTTACAATCATTGCAACAAAAGCATCTTTCTACATATTATTAACCTCTGTGCATGGCTCTGTGCAAGCCTTCAAACTCATGGATCTGCAACTCAAATTGGACCTTTTTTTTTTAATGCAATTTCTGTCTGATTGCCTGAGCAAGCACAAAATGTACAGTGTGGACAGAAGCAACACTGACTGAAATTAATCTTCTAAATGGAAACTGCTTTTTAATGACACCGAAATCCGCTGTCATTTTTAATGAACTGTGGCCAAAACTGATCAGCCTCCAATCAGTCGCAGCAAGGATAGTAGACAGAGTTTATAGTTTGTGTAGCTTTGTGTCTGTAGCCTTCAGTCAGTCTTCAGTTTGTAGCTAGAAAGGTAGTTGTAAGTATTTGGTAGTCATTGTTCCAGTCCTTCCTTTTAAAGCTCAGCTGGAAGATCTCAACTTTGCTCTGAGACCAGGAGCAGAGCGAGCAGGCCTGGACTCTATATTAAACACACTGGACAAAATGAAAAACTAGCTACAGAGATAATGATATTTACTATTGACTGTGTGCAATAAATACGTCTCTGTGCTCCTACACACACACACACACACACACACACACACAAAAACACACACACGCATTAACTTAAGCCAGCAGAGCAGCACATACATTGCAGGGTAGCTGGTGATTAGATTTGGTGCTCTGTGGTGCCTGGACGTCAGGCTGCTTTACAGGATTCGACAGTTCTCGTCATGGAGGAAGGACGTACACCACATGGGATGACAAAACACCCACAAAAACACACACACACACACACACACACAAATATACGTATATAAATGCACACACACACACGTGCATATTAAAACAAAGGCAGAAGAAAAACAACCTCCATCTCCTCCCCTTTCCTTTGAGATTTAATCCACCCTGAGAATGTAAGTAAATACCAGCAGCCCCTATCAATTAGAGCAGGCCCGGGCCAAGAAACCTTCATGATAGTGCTGCATAGGTCTCTCTCTCTCTCTCACACACACACACACATACAAAGAGAGAGGGCCTCTGTCTTTCCTGTTAACATATGACTGTATAACAATCCAGAGGTTCATTAGTAATGTATACAGGAGTTCAGGAGTTCAGCAGAGGCCTCTGATCTATTGTAAACGGAGACAGTGAAAATGAAAAAGTCTTCTTGCGCTCCGGCAGCAGGTAAAAGAATATTCTCCAGTGACGGACTGAACTGCGTTAGCATGAAGGTTCGTGTTAACATGTCTGAGCCTCGGCGTGACATCAGAGAGAAGACTGCGGAGGGAAAAGAGTGGGGGAGAGGAGAAATGCTAATGCGCTCGAGGAGGGCAGGAGCACACTCTCAAATCCGCCATGACATTGGAGCTGACACAAAACCGAGGTCTGTGGCTGCAGAAATATCTGCTGGATGAAGAAACGTCTGTGATCCTTCGGCAGAGAAACCTCAGTGCATTAACTTCTCCTCACCTACAGCTGCAACTTCACAGCACAAATCAGCGTTAAGATTTTTTTTTTTTTGCTCAAAAACAGGACTGTTAATCAAATTTATCTGTCCCCATTTTAAGATTATATCATGGCACTTCATTTTCACTTTGATCACAAAGTGCAGTATTTCTAGCTCCAACACCAGCCAGACACTTTGTTTTGATTCTTACTGTCATACACTTGTTGTGATTTTAATTGCAAACATTCACAGATGACAGGAGATGTTCCACATTGGGGAACGAAAACAATTTCCTCTTTGAAAATCAAGCT